AGGGTTAGGGTTGGCACGTAGGAGAAAGGGATTCGGGCTTTGTCCCCTGTCCAGGGCTCCGGGTTTGGAGCCTGGAAGTCTACTTGGCCTGGCTGTCTCGGCTCATTGAGGGCTTCGGGACCCTGAACCCTAAACCCGACTAGGGTCTTAACCTTAGGGTCTGGATGAAAGGCCTTCTGGGCATCAGTTGAAGGTCGTGTTTTAAAACATAGGGCGCTGAAGCTTTACGTGATCGTCCCTGGGGTGCCGACTCTGGTAGCCTGGTGCCGACTTTAACTTCGAAAAAAAACCGGGGCATGCGCATCAGGGAGCCTCCCTCAGGCCGTCCACGCAGGTTCCTAGAGAGGACCTGGGTAAGTTTCAGGTGCCGATGGTAAAAACGTACTTATCGCAACCAGGGTTTAGGGTTTACATGGGGTTTAGAGATTAGGGTTTAGGGACCCTCTGGCCTTAAACCTTACACCGCAGCCCTCTTTTCTCGCCAACGCCGCCCTTGGTCTGAAACCCAGACAGAGTGAACGCTCTAGTTGGCTCGTCTTTCCTAGGCCACACACCCTAGAGCCACTTTGCTTTCAGCCCGCATGCTAACTCTGTTTACTCCCACAGTCCCGGAGCCCCACTAGCACCTGAAGCCGCGATCCTTGACAAGCCAAAGTCCGACATCACCAAGTAATCAACCCCCTGCAGCTCTGAACTTGAACCCTCAAGCTGAGTCTTCTAATTCAGGCTCACGGAAATAACCTGACACCCGAAGAGCCGGTATCCTCAATTCATCGCTCAACCTTGCACCGCAAGAGCTCAGACCTGAAGAACGTTGTGGTTTTCTCTTTGTTTCGCGTTGAAAACGCTGACCTTTGACAAGGTATGGAAAAGCCGGAAAACGGCACCAGCGAACCCAGAGCCCTAAATACCGCTCTGTAACCTGGGCCCCAAAACCCTTCATCTCAAACACCAAATTTCGGGAAATGCGCCGTAAAGTTGTAAAGTTCGTAAAGAACATGGATCCCGAAGACTCGATCAAGCCCAAGCAAAATGGCCGTATGTAGAAGCAAACCTTGCGCACCTTCAACTAAGGAAGTACTGGTGCCATAAATATACCCACAGTACATGACCGTTGCTGCAAGGGGGGATATCTACTTAGGTAGAGTTTACAGAGCTCTAAACTAAACTCCGTAGAGGAGATGTCCGGCCCTGAACCCCGAAAGCCCCAGCCCTACCTCGCTAAACCCAAACTCGCAGCCTTAAGCCCCAAACCTTACCTGTATCCCAAAATGTCTAGGTTTTGACGAAAGATTCCTTGTTGTGATTTGCCGGTCTCTTGCTTGAAGAAGGCACGTTTCTTGGGCTGCAGGCAAGCCTGAGAGAGCCCTAAACCTCTAAGCCCCTTTTCAACTCTAAGCTCTTTGGATTCCGACCCTGATGAGTTCATACCGGAAGCTTCATCAACCTTATCAAGCCTAAGCCGTTCTGCAACGCAAGGTACTGGGCGAGCAGAAGTTCGGATTCCCGGTATGTTCTTCAAGCTACGGCTTAGGGTTGTGTTTGCAGTTTTTGAGAAGGGTTCGATAAGGGTCGTTAGTAGGGGTTATGTGGTCTTGGGTTGTTTTGCTGTTTGTTGTTTCAGGGTTCCATCAGTGTTTTGCAGAGATGTTATAGTCATCGTCTGTGAGACTTTTGATGGGTTCTGAAAGGGGTTAAGGGTTTAGGGCTTTTTGAATTCATTGACTTAGAGCTTGATGGGTAAGGCTCAGAGGTCTTAGGCTGCGTTGTTGCTTGGATGTGCGTTTCCTTTCGCGCATCCCAAAGGGTCCTATGTAATGTTACGGGGGATACTTCCCTAGGTCATAATAGTAATTTCTAGTACAGAAACCCTACCTTCTACTTTAGAAGTACTTTGGACCCTTTGGGTATTTCTTTCCGTGCTTTCTGTAACGAATTCGGAATGGGGGGTGGGAACAATGTGCGCGTTATGCTGTTGGTTCAGGCTCTTTGGGGTTGCTTCATGTGCCTTCGGGAGCCGAAGATCCAGTTCCTGTGCTGGCAAAGCTGGCAAAGCCCTTGCAGAGATGGGCTTGAATGGCCTCGATGTTGCGTTTTGTCGGGGGTTCTTGAAGCGTTCTGTCGAGATCCCCTTTTAACTTCGGTGGGCGACAGACGGCAGGTTCAGCCAGAAGGCCCAACACAAGCGGCGTCTCTTCCGAGTTGCTGCCGCGGAACTTGGGGGGCTTGTTCCCTGTCGGCGCTGGGAACGGGCGGAGTTGGAGTGCTAGAACCGGTTTAGGGTTCAGGGTTTAGGGGCTTAGCGTTTTTTAGGGAAGTCCGGAACCCTCCTGCGATGCCGGTGTTCACGATTGTTTTGGTATTGGTCATTGCTTTCATCGCGCTGTGCAGGCAATGGTTATGGCGCGGCGACCCATCGGAAAAAATCAGAAGTCTGCAGACGAATACAATTCAAACTGCAAGGCTTAAGGCTTAAGGTCACTTAGTTCCGTTGTTGCAGGGCTTTTGCAGGATTTCCAGGGTCAAGATCTCTTAGTCTTTGTGCGTCTTGCTCTGGTCATCTCGTGACAACCCTGGAGCACAGAAGTCTCCTCTAAACCAACCTTGAGGCTCCTTAGGGTTTAGGGTTTAGGGGTTTAGGGTTTAGGGCTCTGGCAATTCCAATTCGCAAAGCGTCATCCGCCCGAAATCGCAGAGACAGAACCGTCAACCCCAAGGCCAGAGGAAGCAGCAGACGACAAAGCCTCAACTTAATTTCCTAAGCGCTTAGCCTCATACCTCTCAGCGCTGCACCCTCATCCTTCAATCCCTGAGCCCTAACCGGTTCAACTCGACTCACAACTTATCATTTCTTAGACCAGTGTTATATCACTGTTAAGTAATTTAATACTTGTCTTGGTATTTAACTAGCTGGAGTTAGCTTTTTAACTTATCATTATTAGATCATCGTTAATTACCTAACCCTAAACCCCAAACCCTGAACCCTAAACCCCGAACCCTAAATCCTAAACCCTAAGCCCTAATCGGCAATGGAAAGCTTCAGCTCGAGGCAGACAGTGCTCATTGGATCCAACCGCGGCAAGGCCAGGCCGAGGAAGCCAAGTGGTTTGAATCTTCCTTGGGTTTTTGAGGCTCTGGGTTTAGGGTTTTAGGGTTTAGGGTTCAGGGTTTAGGGGTTTGGGGTTTAGGGTTTAGGGTTTTAGGGTTTAGGGAGGGTTTAGGGTTTTGAGGCTTGGGGTTTTGGGACTAAGAGTCTTCTTGGGCTTTTTGCCATCAGGGCTCAAGTTGTCCTTGCACCAGAAGAAGAAGTGCCGAGAAGTGCACGGGGTTTATGAGCATCTCGCCTGTCAGTTCTTGAGGCTAGACATGTGTGTCTATTGCTTCTCAAGGCCCGCTTCACCGAGACATGCTTGTTTTAGAGATCCGTGTATGTGCTATCATGCGCACACCGCACATGTTTGTTCCAATATGCCAGGCCCCTAGATCAACTCGGTCCTTGCCAAAGACGGAATCGACTATCGACGATGTGTCTCGAACCGGTGAAGGTATCTAGCTTATATAATATCATCGAATCGACCAGAGTATAGAACATAGTTTTAGTCTACTATAGTATGTTGGAGCTGTAGGGTTGAGGCGGCAGGTCCTTGCAAAGCTCAGTTCTACTGGGGTCGCGATCTTTTCCACAAAGGCCGAACGAACCATCCACACTCGCCCCATCACACGGAATCTCGATGTTATCTCCCTACACCCTAAACCCTAAACCCGAACCCCTAAACCCTCGGAAGCACTAAGACTGAGACCATGAAAAGGGAAGCTTCGACTGGAAGTCGTCTGTAAAGTTCGGAGGAAAGCCTCGAACAGAGCCGGAAGGAGGCCATGTTTGTGTGCATACTCCTTCTATATGTATACATGCATGCTGTGTATAATCGTATGTGTTTTTTGTTGCCGATGTCTGTGTATACATGTGTATACACATACATGTGTATATATATATATATATATACATATGTACACACACACATGTACATATAGATAGATATAGATATAGATATATAGATATAGACATATACATGTGTATATATGTGTGTGTATATAT